GTATACAGGCCACCAGGGCACCATGCAGACTTTATTAAAAAATTTGCTGATTTTATATCCGAGTTAGTACTGGCTGCAGATAAAGTTTGAATTGTTGGTGATTTTAATATCCATGTTGATAATGAAAACGATGCATTGGGATCAGCATTCATAGACATTCTGAACTCTATTGATTTTAGATAACACGTGTCAGAGCCTACTCATTGTCGAAATCATACTCTAGATTTAAAGGGGTCATATGATGTTCCTAAAAAGAACATTATTTGGTGTATTTGGTGTAATAAAAATGTGTTTGTGGTTTAAGGTTCAAAAAACACATTATTTTCCACATACTGTACATTATTGTTTCTCCTCTATGCCCCGCCTTTCTGAAATGTGTAGATTTTTACAAAGCTGAGGTGTGCTGTGATTGGCCAGCTATCCAGTGCGTTGTGATTGGCCGAATACCTCAAGCGTATGACGGAAATGTTATGCCCTGACAATACTGTGATGCCCTGTCCAGCCGGAGCGACGAGACAAAAACGTTAAAACCCATTATAAACGAGCCATTTGTTGCATCCAGTGGGGACATAATTATGGATTATAATGACTTATACTGTCTTTTTACAGTCTGTGAGTCAGAGGGCGGCGTTATGCAAATCTTCCCACATCGTGACGTAGACATGTGGGTGTGTTAGAACGTGCCGTTTTAGGTAGGCGTGGTTGACTCTTAACTTTTATAAAGAACATCTCTTTGGATTTGAAACTTTAGTCTTTGCAACTTTACAGATCTTCTTTATGCACCAAGAGCTTGTAACACTCCAAAGAGAAAGAAAAAATGTAAATCGCATTGTATGACCCCTTTAAGATCCAGAGTGAGAAGATTTGTGAGTGCGCTCATCCGAAGCGCGCAAACCCGCGCCTCAGAACACGCGCAAATATTAAGCTCTCTCTGAAGTATTGTGTTTAAATGGACAAATTCACACAAAAATTATGTCAAAATGCCCATCTTGGTAAGTATTCTATAGCAGACATAGCCAGCTGAACGTACTTACAGTGTCTTAAAGTGACAGCACTTTCTTAATATTAATCAAACAGAAACAACAAAGAAATCACTCACTCCTCTTGATTGAATAGGTTTTGTAACTTTAATAAAGATTAATCTTTAATTTATACAGTCAAATATGCAATGCTGTTTTACATTTCATTACTTTATTCAATTTCTGTACCTAAAAACTAATGTTAGACCTACCCAAAACAAACTGAAAATCACTGTTTATTTTATTTGTATCTTTACTCTATTGTATTTATTTGTGCTGTTGGTTGTAGTTAGATTTTTCTTATTTTCTTTATTTTTATTTGACAGTATAGTTTTTCCCTAAACATAGCTCATACTGAACCGTACCGAAACCGTGACCCGAAAACAGTGATACAAACCGAACTGTGAGTAAGTTGAACCGTTCCACCTCTACACATAATACACTATCGCATTTCTATAATTCACCGTAGCCATATCCAGATCAGATGGTCACCGTAGCCACCCAGATCCCGTCCATATCCAGACCAGATGGTGGATCAGCACCTAGAGACGACCTCTACAGCCCTGAATGTCAGCGGAGACCATGTCAACTAGATGCGCCCCAGAGACAGATCCCCTGCGAAGACCTCATCACTTCAACGACCATCGGCACAAGACCACGGGAACCAGACAAGACCTCTGCACCTGTGTTGCAGCCTGGAATTAAACAACGCCATGCTGGTTTCGTCAGGCCAGAGGACAACTGGCCCTGACTGAGCCTGGTTTCTCCCAAGGTTTTTTCTCAATTTCTGTCACCAATGAAGTTTTGGTTCCTTGCCACTGTCGCCTTTGGCTTGCTTAGTTGGGGACGCTTTACTGATTGCACAGACACTATTGGAAGAGATCTGATCTGGATTATGATATCACTGAATCATCAATGAACTGACTTAAGCTGGAAAAATTACTCTGTCATTGTCTTCTTGCATTATTGACATTTCCTGTTTGACACAGTAAAGCTGCTTTGACACAACCAGTATTGTAAAAAGCGCTATACAAATAAAGGTGCATAATTGTTGATCAGTTAGGTACAAAGAAAAAAATGTTTAAAACAGAAAAGATGCTGGTAATTGTTTGCCAGGACAATATCAGGTAAGTTTACAGGCATTTCCTGTAACCCTAAAACACAAAATACAATGTGTAGTTTAAAATACAGCTAAAACACCTGTGAAAAATCCATACAGAAAATTTCTTCATACAAAAACAGTACATTGTGCCACATTTTTACAGACTTGTTTTGCATCTAAAGTTGCGAGACGCAGCGGTCAGGAATGGTTTTTAAAAAGCGCAGCGCAGAATGTGAGGGTCCTGACATGCACTTTTGTGACTTGATGCATTAACTCCATTTCCACAAGTAAACATCACGTTTATTTATTCAGCGCTTTATGCAATACAGATTGCTCCAATCTTAGCTTCTCAGTAAAAAAAAAAAAACCCATGTTAATGTTGCAAAATTCATTAAATATGAAACTTTAATTTCAGCTGTAAACCATCTCTACAAAAGTGATTTCCATGTTGATTCAATTCTGTTCAATAACAGTGTAGATGTTAAGTTCATAAATGATGAAACAACATCAGAGGCAGCTCTACAGAAATGTTTTATTAACAAGTTTCGGGAGAAGCACGATCAGATAATCAACCAATTTGGCACAGGTGGAACTCGTTCAGCTAATCAGATTAACTAGCACAATGTATATGTATATATATACAGTGGTGTGAAAAAGTGATTTCACCTTCCTGATTTCTTATTTTTTTGCATGTTTGTCACACTTTAATGTTTCAGATCATCAAACAAATTTAAATATTAGTCAAAGATAACACAAGTGAACACAACGTGCAGTTTTTAAATTAAGGTTTTTATTATTAAGGGAAAACAAAATCCAAAACTACATGGCCCTGTGTGAAGAAGTGTTTGCTCCCCTGTTAAAACTGTGGTTTATCACACCTGAGTTCAATTTCTCTAGCCACACCCAGGCCTGATTACTGCCACACCTGTTCGCAATCAAGAAATCTCTTAAATAGGACCTGACTGACAAAGTGAAGTAGACCAAAATAACTAATTTGGGGGAGAGAATTTAAAAAAAAAAAAGAAGGAAAATTGGGAAGGAAGTAAATTTTTGATCCACACTCCATTCCAGTTGGTGGCGGAAATACACCATTTTGTTGTTTGTCAACCGCCAATAAAATTTCAAGAAGAAGAAGAAGAAGTGAAGTAGACCAAACGATCCTCAAAAGCTAGACATCATGCCGAGATCCAAAGAAATTCAGAAACAAATGAGAAAGAAAGTAATTGAGATCTATCAGTCTGGAAAAGGTTATAAAGCCATTTCTAAAGCTTTGGGACTCCAGCGAACCACAGTGAGAGCCATTATTCACAAATGGCAAAAACATGGAACAGTGGAGAACCTTCCCAGGAGTGGCCGGCCGACCAAAATTACTCCAAGAGCACAGCGACGACTCATCCAAGAGGTCACAAAAGACCCCACAACAGCATCCAAAGAACTGCAGGCCTCACTTGCTTCAGTTAAGGTCAGTGTTCATGACTCCACCATAAGAAAGAGACTGGGCAAAAATGGTCTGCATGGCAGAGTTCCAAGACGAAAACCGCTGCTGAGCAAAAAGAACATAAAGGCTCGTCTCAGTTTTGCCAGAAAACATCTTGATGATCCCCCAGACTTTTGGGAAAATACTCTGTGGACTGACGAGACAAATGTTGAACTTTTTGGAAGGTGTGTGTCCCATTACGTCTGGCGTAAAAGTAACACTGCATTTCAGAAAAAGAACATCATACCAACAGTAAAATATGGTGGTGGTAGTGTGATGTCTGGGGCTGTTTTGCTGCTTCAGGACCTGGAAGACTTGCTGTGATTAAATGGAACCATGAATTCTGCTGTTTACCAAAAAATCCTGAAGGAGAATGTCCGGCCATCTGTTCGTGACCTCAAGCTGAAGCGAACTTGGGTTCTGCAGCAGGACAATGATCCAAAACACACCAGCAAGTCCACCTCTGAATGGCTGAAGAAAAACAAAATGAAGACTTTGGAGTGGCCTAGTCAAAGTCCTGACCTGAATCCTATTGAGATGCTGTGGCATGACCTTAAAAAGGCGGTTCATGCTCGAAAACCCTCCAATGTGGCTGAATTACAACAATTCTGCATAGATGAGTGGACCAAAATTCCTATAATTCGATAACTGGAACAGACTGCAAGTTATCGCAAACGCTTGATTGCAGTTGTTGCTGCTAAGGGTGGCCCAACCAGTTATTAGGTTTAGGGAGCAAACACTTTTTCACACAGGGCCATGTAGTTTTGGATTTTGTTTTCCCTTTAATAATAAAAACCTTCATTTAAAAACTGCATGTTGTGTTCACTTGTTATCTTTTACTAATATTTAAATTTGTTTGATGATCTGAAACATTAAAGTGTAACAAACATGCAAAAAAATAAGAAATCAGGAAGGTGGCCAACACTTTTTCACACCACTGTATATATATATATATATATATATACACACAGCCAACTTACCTCTGTACCAGGACAGTTTTCCGGCATCCCTCCTCCACCCCATCTCCTTACTATTAAACTATTCTCATCTCATACTAGGGATTGGGGGAGTTCTCTGGGTTTGGGCTATAGTCTGACAGCATGCCAAATATGCTTACAATTTGCTCAATCCAATTATATGTAAGTGCGAACTTGTGAAATCAATGGTGTCATTATTCAGTTCAATTTATTTCAGTGTTGATTCAATTCAGTTCTCCTCTGGCCACAGTCACTTTTGGCTTGCTCACTGGGGGCTTTAGGAAATTAAGGCACAATTTTCTATAAATCTGATTAGGAAATAGATTGTGGAAAGAACTATAAAACAAAAAGAAATGAAAATAATCCAAAAATTTTGTCAGTTGTGTAAACCCTAAAATTCTAATGAAAAAGTTTCAAGCACTGACCTGTTGTGTTCGCAATGATTCCAGTTCTCTCTCCAGGTGAGTACGTAGACATTGTTCCAGCTGCTCACGTTTCTCACATGCAATCTGGAGTTGTGCTAGTGCCTGCTGCAACCACTCCACCCGCTCCACATACTTCTGCTTTTTACTCAACTACAGCACACAGACAGATTGAAGAGAGATTTACTTGAGATGACTGACACTGTTTAGTGGTTGTTTTATATCAGGTCCCTCCGTAATCCAAATCATCAACATAAATTATTAATAATTATTCAATTAATTTAAATGAATAATTATTTAATAATCCTCATCAAAGTATGTGGCTGTATTGTAAAGATAGGAGATAAAAAGTTTAATTGATCTATTGCTACGGGCCCATTCAGTATAATATAACACAAACTCTCTGTCTAGGGATAAAAAACAAATACTGGTTCTTGCCGTAGCCTAAAATCTACATAAAATCCTGTGGATGTCTGTCCAAGTCCAGGATGTAATTTTATTTGTGTAGCACTTTTCACAAGACACACAACGATGAGTTGCAGGATTTATGACGTGAACAGTGTGACATGTCAGTCAAAGTGGACTGAGGCTTGGTGTCTTTTCACTTTATATTTTTCCTATTCATTCTCACTTACACTCCACCAAACCCATGACCCATATAGGGGGTTTATTAAAAACTTACTGGGCTCATAGGAGACAAGAGAAATGCTGCTTCCTTCTAAAACTTTAGCCACTGGTGTTATTATTGGACAGTGTCATTTTTTTTAATGAATGATTTATATGATGGTTTGATGTCACATTTCATAAGATTTGCTTTGCTTTATTTTTGTAATATGGATTAATTTCTTACATTTTTTTATTTTTATAAAATAGAAAGATGAGTATTAAGGGATAAAATAAATGACTGTAGGGGGACTTTAAACCTTCAAATGACACACAGCTCATATTTTCATATCCGTAAGTTACCGACACCACACATTTGCTAGATATGTGTATGAGTATGTGGTGTAGAGTGACTTTTTCACATTGCATGATGTGACAGACAATTAATTATCCAGTACAGTTCCACTTAATCAGTGAGATTTCACTAAAGATGAGGTAGTTGGTTCCATGTACAGTATGTGTTTGCAAACATATAAAGGACTGAAATATCCCACTGGACTGGCATTTCTAATCATTTTATCATTTTAATCACAATGCTGGTATCGGTAGAATAGTTTAATTCAGTTTGTGTAAAGCCAAAGGATGGCGAAAGCAATGCCGAAGTTTGTATTTATTTAAAACTGTACCAACAATCTATTAGGGTAATCCAAAAGACTCACCTCTTCCTCTAGTTTGAGGACTTTACTCTGAGCATTATTTAAAGCCTGCTCTAAGATCTCAATGTGTCGTTGCTGATCCTCATTGGCTGATTGGAGATTGGCTGCTTCTATCTCTAATTTTTCCAGATCTTTCAGGCTTTCTTTTCCTGAGGGAAAAAAAGACAAAATAAAAAGGTGTTTTAGAGAGCTTAAAGGGTGCTGTCATGAATCCAGTCCATGGACTTTCATCCAATGAACACAAGAGGTCGCTCTCTCACCATATTGACACTCACTCCAAATAGACTGTCACACATAACTATGGACTACATCTCCCATGCTCCACTGCACTGATTGCGCACTCACCTGCATCCAATAACTCACACTATATAACACTCACTCTGATCCTGCTCTAGTCGCCGAGTATTGTTTGCGTTTATCGCTCTCCTAGTGGTAGCACATTACGAAGCCAGTTTCCTGCCCTAGTTTCTAGTCCTTAGTTCCTAGTCATAGTCATAGTCATAGTCATAGTCATAGTCTTGTCTTGCCTGCTTTCCCGTGTTACCTGATTTTTACCTGTTTATCTTGTATTAACCCTTTGCCTGCTGTTTCGGACTGTGTTTGCACCTCGCCTGGACTACTGCTCGTGTTATTGGATTTCTCCTCTTGTCAAGCCCTCTGGATAACGTTCGCTGTCGACTGACTCACGCCCGGTTTGGATTTCTCTTTTGTCTTGCCCTCAATATACATGTTTGCCATTGTCAGAACCTTGCCTGTTTTTATGACCATGCCTTTAAATAAAAGCTTTGCAGATGCATCCGCACGTCTCACTTCTCGTTCGCCCCACTATATCAGACATGGAGGCGGATTGTGATCTGTCTGTCCATCTAGATGCTGATTTTGAACTCTCTGTCTTGTCAGTTTCTGCTTGAAGGCTATATTCAAGAGTATCTGGACATTGCGTATTATTCTGATCTGCCAGATTGTGTACTGATAGGCTTTTTTTGTGATGGAGTAAATTAACCTTTAAAGTCACGATTAACCCGTGAGGGTCCCCGTTCTTCTCTAAGCTATTTTTTGGATTTTGCTGTGCTTTGTGTCGACTCCGTGTTCACGGTGGGTGTTGCGGAGAAACATGACACAGAGTCCGCTTGTGTAATGGCGGTCGCACTAGAGCACGCTCTCAAAATGGTGGTGCCAGCGGAGCCTGATCGTAAAATGGTGAACACAACAGTGCCCCGTTATGTCACAGCTGATCTTCACGAATCAAGTCAAGTTACCGTTGATCGTCATGAGGCAAGTCAAGTCACAGCTGATCTTCCTTAGTCAAGTCCAAGACACAGCTGATCTTCCCGAGTCCAGTCAAGTCACAGCTGATCTTCCCGAGTCCAGTCAAGTCACAGCTGATCTTCCCGAGTCCAGTGATTTTCCTGAGTCCAGTCAAGTCACAGTCAATCTTCCTGAGTCCAGTCAAGTCACAGTCAATCTTCCTGAGTCCAGTCAAGTCACGGTTGATCTTCATCATGAGTCAAGTCAAGTCACGGTTGATCTTCATCATGAGCCAAGTCACAGCTGCTAGTTATGAGTCCAATCACGTCTCAACTGATCGTCTAGAGTCTCGTCACATCCTGTTGCACCCAGATCTTCAAGGTCAGTCCTTCGGTATCCCAGTCTGGTATCCAGTGTGAGGGATGCACCGCTGGTGTCTGCACGCACAGCTGGTATCCCCAAACCCACTCACTCTAGCCCTCCTGTCCTTGAACTGATTCCCCTGACTGAAGCGCTTCCCTTGATGGGGATCGCTCTATGGTGTGTTTGGGCTGCATACACCACCACAGAACCTCCCGAGGTGGAGATGCTCGCTTCAGCTCCTTGCGTGGTGGTGGCGCCCAGCGATGCACTCTCAGCCTGTCGTGTTGCGGTCGAAGAGACCATTACTGACTTCTCCCTGTTTCCTGAAGTTACTGCTGTAGAACCTCCAGAGGTGGTGGCAACCGCTGCAGAACCTCCAGAGGTGTCAGTGGTATCCATTTACGAACTCTCTGCCTGCCCAGCCATGGCCAAGGAGGCCGTTTATGAGTTCTCCGTCTGTCCTGTCATGGTCAAAGTGACCATTGCTGAACTCCATACCTGTTCTGTTAAGGTGAATGTTAATGAACTCTCCCTGTTTCCTGCTGATATTGCTGTAGAACCTCCAGAGGTGGCGGCATCCGCTGCAGAACCTCCAGAGGTGTCAGTAGTATCCACTCTCGTCCTGTTCTGTTCCGGCCAAGGAGGCCGTCTGTGAACTCTCTGCCTGTCTTGTCACGGCTATGGAGGCCGTTTGTGAACTCTCTGCCTGTCCTGTCACAGCTATGGAGGCCGTCTGTGAACTCTCTGCCCGTCCTGTCATGGCTATGGAGGCCGTCTGTGAACTTTCTGCCCATCCTGTCATGGCTATGGAGGCCGTTTGTGAACTCTTTGCCTGTCCTGTCACGGCTATGGAGGCCATTTGTGAACTTTCTGCCCGTCCTGTCAAGGCTACGGAGGCCATTTATGAACTTTTATCCTGCTCTGAACCGGCCGAGGAGGCCATCTCTGAACTCTCATCCTGTTCTATATCAGACATGGAGGCGGATTGTGATCTGTCTGTCCATCTAGATGCTGATTTTGAACTCTCTGTCTTGTCAGTTTCTGTCAGTCAGTCTGATCATGAACCGTCAGTCTGTCCTAGATCAACCTATGAATCAGTTTTTGAATTGTCTGTCTGTCCCATTTCCCTCAATGATTCTGTTGAACCATCTGTCTGTCCAGTTCAAAACAAGGAACCTGTTAGTTGCCCCATTAGTCCAGTTTTGAGCCCTGTCACTGTCATAGAGACAATTCATGAACTATCTGCTTGTTCTGTTCCCCCAAATGTGTCTGAATTGTCTGTCTTGCCAGTCCTAGTTTGGGAGTTTGTTTATGAACCGTCTGATTGTCTAGTTTCAGTCAGTAAGCCTGGTTTTGAATATCTGCCCACTCAGTTGTCACCAGTCCATGGACTTTCATCCAATGAACACCAAGAGGTCGCGCTCTCACCATATTGACACTCACTCCACATAGACTGTCACACATCACTATGGACTACATCTCCCATGCTCCAATGCACTGATTGCGCACTCACCTGCATCCAATAACTCACACTATATAACACTCACTCTGATCCTGCTCTAGTCGACGAGTATTGTTTGCGTTTATCACTCTCCTAGTGGTAGCATATTACAGAGCCAGTTTCCTGCCCTAGGTTCTAGTCCGTAGTTCCTAGTCATAGTCTTGTCTTGCCTGCTTTCCTGTGTTACCTGATTTTTACATGTTTATCTTGGATTAACCCTTTGCCTGCTGTTTCAGACTGTGTTTGCACCTCACCTGGACTACTGTTTTTTTTTTAATGGAATATCAAAAAGTGTGTATATTTTTTAAATGTGATTGGTACAGTTTACCAGTTTTTACCATACTTTCAAAACAAAAATTAAAATAGGAAAAATATGCAATATGAAAATAATTGAAGACAAAATGTGTTTTACTGAGAAAAAACAAGATTTGGTTTTTAAAAAGCCTTTTTCCAAAAGGTACATCTGGAAAAAGGGGGGTCGTCTTATATTCGGGCCAATACGGAACCTGTTTGTCATTGTCAGAACCTTGCCTGTTTCTATGACCACGGCTTTAAATAAAAGCTTTGCAGATGGATCCTCACGTCTCGTTCGCCCCGTAACAGATGCACTGTGATTTATTTTTATTTTTTGTTTGTTTGTATGTAGCTGCCAACTACACAAACCTGCAGTGGCTACCCAGGTAAGTTTAGGTTGAGCAAACTTTTTTTTATGTCAATTTCTTAATCATCAGAAGAGTTGATTTGCTGCAGATTCAGGTGCATCACTTCATAGTTAAACACAAACTCTGAATCAATCCCCAAGTAGAGAGAATGTTTATTGCAAGCATTGTGTTCCTGATAAACCTGATCCAAATTAGGTTGGAATTGTTTAGTTATGTCAACTTTATATTCTGTCTTCAACTAGCTTTGTGTGACAGGCAACAGTTGTACTTTACATTGCTCTACTGTGGAAATCCGATGGTTTATGTGTAGCGTTTGGACCAATCAGACAGACATTTATTTGTTATATTCAACAAATAATCCCTAACACCCCTCACCACACCAACAAGCCAAATATGAGGGTCCATGGACCTTTTCCCCGAAATGCAACAAACACCTCAAAAGGAGGAACAGGCCTCTGGTTCCATAGCACCCAAAGACAAATCATCTGATAACACTGGTTTTATTGCTCAAAGGAATGCGGGCAGAGCAACTCTTACTCCATTTCCCATAGGAAAGACAAATAATGCCCATAAAAATGGACTCTTCTCTAATTAATTAATAGAAAAACCTTTCTGTGAATGAACACATCCTCAGGTCATTGTGTGTATTATTACTGTTCTTGTACATTGTATTTTGTATTGTATACTGTTTTATGGATGTGTTTTGATAGATCACTAGTTAATATAGCCTCACCTATACCATGTTTGGTATCTATGAGTTTGTATTTTGATGATCTAAATGAGAGTATGTAATATATGTTGATACCCATGCAACATGTTAGTGTTCTAAGAATCTTTAATAGTTTTTGCATCAGCACTCAATCCAGTTACATATGTAAAATACCATGCTCGAAGACAAGTCCATCTGGAAGAAAACTCTCCCGACCACCACGGAGTCAGAATAACATCTTTGGAGTTCATCAACCTTCAAACCCAGAAGAACGTGATCGCGATTGCAACACCACCGAATCATCAACCATCAAGACTTTCATCCGAGACTGCATCCGGACGCTAATTCAACAGCCAAGTCAATGCAAGTATCGTACATTTAACTACACAAAATGAAAGGTTTAGTATAAGCTGTAGACCCCGTTGTAAAACGGTGCTGATGGTTTGACTCAGGTGGTTAACTGACTCCTTTTCATTGCTTCATTCCCTGTTTCTCTAACGGTTTTATTCATTCAGTCTCATTTGCCCTTCCCCATGTATGAGTGACTGTATTCTTTTTGATTGTTAGGCTAGTTTGTGTTAGTGTTTAGTTAATAAAACTTGTGTGCAAAAATAACATGAGTTTCTGATTCTGTTACTGCTTGTAAATCAATGTCCCTTTTAAGAT